TGTTTGTAGTCAAAATATTCACATTCCACAATATTCATGCGCTGCGCGCTACTAAAACTGAGTTTCAAGGTCAAAAGTGTAGGTATCAATAATGTTACGCGATGAAAATCAAATCCATTATCGCCCAAAATGTGGTTTGTGGTTTAAGCAATAAATTAACCACAAACTACATTTCAAAATCGCCCAATTTGCGATAAAGCGCCCAATATGGCCACACTGCCACAGATACTTCTAGTAAAGGTAATCATATCGCATAGTAAAAATCAGAGGGGCGCATGCGCAGACTGCGCAATGCCAACTTTATTATTTATGGAAACATTTCTTTGACATTTTAACCAAAGATGGTTTTAGTAAAAGCAAACGTATCGCATATTGTAGAAATCCGATTAATCTTTTTTATTGAGATATCTTTTTGATATTTTATTCACAGATGCTTCTGTTAGAGGCAAACCGAGAAGCAAACATATCTCATATTCTAAACATTAGATGTCCCATGGTCTATGCCAACTTCCCTATTTATTAAGATATTTCTTCCGACTTTTAACCACAGATGCTTCTAGTAAAGACAAACATATCGCATATTATAAAAATAAGATGCGCGAATGCGTAGATTGCGCAATGACAACTTCCTTATTTATTGAGATTTTTCTTTGAAATTTTAACCAGATGCTTTTAGTAAAGAAAAACATAGCCATAGATCTCGCCATAGCCTTTTGGGAAGTAGTGATAAATGCATGGAAAATGCGCCTTTTTACATATTTTTGTTATTATGTATGATATCCTGAAGGAACACTTCAATCAAACGAAGACCAATTCTTTTCTGGTTGGCACTTAAAAATGGCCACTATTTCTCTAGAATTTCCTGGGTTCCTGGTTTGAAGTATGAACGTTCTCTAGTGTATTAGCGAGCAGGATTTGGAAACAGAAACCTTGTCCGAGCCCCTCAACTTCAGAGGTGGTCTAAGAATTTCGCAATATTCTCGAGAATGGTATTGTATGCAGCATTTTACATCCAGCAAAGGATTGCAAGGGGACAGAGAATATTTTGCACTTCTGACCGCATCCGTTATGATACAGCCTTCACGTTGCAAAATTAATTGCAATAGGAAATTGCACTACGTTATTTTCATGTTTTTTTAGGGATTTGTACCTTTATTCTTTTGATTACAGATCGAAAAAACGAATGGAGTTTAATAAAGAGTAGGGAAAGTACAGTTCCTGCAGGGTCTATATAGTTTAAGTATATAGACCCTGCAGTTCCTGTCCACCACAAATCATACAAACCCAGAACTACCCATACACAGCAATATTCATATAGGTACAAAACCATTCGTATCCAGGATGACGCACACCCAAAGTGAAAGGGTACTTACATGGAGTAAGCATCCAAATAAATCGAAGGTGCAACGTATTTTGTTTGGAAGCGTATCCCTTGGCGTAAGTTCAAAAATATGCGTTACTTCTGAGGATCCACAACAGATAAAAAGATGACATTTGCGGTTTTAGCTATGTTCTTGGGTCTCCAATAAGGTAGCTTTTTAGTACAATTTTTTCTAGCGGTATACTGAATATGAAAGTGAAGGATTTTATTATGGATCGGAATTTCCTTCGCCATCTCATTTAGAGGTGCCTCAATTTGGAGTCGGAATTTTGGAAGACGATGCATAAATTACCCAAAAACCTGACCAACTCCGTTAATTTTATCCTGCCAAATATTATGGCTGCAAGAAACAGATTCAAGAATAATCGTCAAAAACGCACATTTGGAAAAAACGAAGAAAAAAATGTTACGTTCCCCTCGATTAGTCAATTTTTTTGTTATATCCAAAACGGAGCATGTGTAGTAGGTAGTATCACTCCATCAGATTAGTTTACTTAAATAAAGCACATAAAAACAGGCATTCCCATAATTCATTTTTTATGTGTAGTAGCAAGTATGTACTTGAATTGAGCGGTTTAATAATAAGGGCAGTCAAAACTTGTGATTTAGATTTATCATGCTGCTTGTTTCTGATAAAGATTTTTGTAATACATAGTATATACCTACTCGTCCAGACCTTCCATTTTCACATTGAGAGTACCTCTTCCGACACGTTTCCGTTTTCGAGATATTCGCATTTGAAGATTTAGCACCATTAACAGAATACGGCACGTCCAGACCTATGCCTTTCGCTTTGAGAGTACCCTCTTTCGATACTTCGGTGTCAAGATGTCCAAATTTCATGAGCATAAAAAATATGACGAAGAGTCGGAGAGCTCGAGAACTGATCAAAAATGTTCATCAAGGCTAGACATCTTTAAAATGCGATCATAATGCATTTGCTGCGAGAGCCTAAACTGATTTGAGCACGCGATGGAGTGTTTTGGAAGGCGATATAACACGCTGAAAAGTACATTGGAAATCATTTATAAGACTCAAGAAAGCCAGCGTATTAAGTGTCGTGATGAATGCTAACCCACTATAATATTAAAGCGGTAGAGCGGTGTGACTCTACATGGTAATTGGGCTTGATCCTCGATTTGGTCCACTATAGTCTATACCAGGCGGTAATTGGGCTTGATCCTCGATTTGGTCCACTATAGTCTATACCAGGCATGGGCAACCCACGGTCCGCGGGTCTGATACGGCCTGCCGATAAGTTTTGTCCGGCCCGCTAACATAATTCATAGTTAATACTTCATTCGGCCCGCCAAGTTATATTAAAAATTCGAATTAATTAATTAATTATGATTATGTTACACCGCAGCATCTAGTGGACGCAATCCGAAGCTTCCAAGACGTTTGAAAGCCTCTTTAAAGATGCATTTCTTTTTTCACAGATATCTCCAGGTATTTTCCAGAATTTTTGTCGCGATGTATACCGGGTGGGGCAATAAAACGACACTTGTTTTCGGATTCAGCAACATTTTTAAGCCATATATTGCAACAAATGAGAGGAGCATAAATGAAAATTCGGATACAAGCTGAATATGGGGATTTTTTTATCCAGATCTGGTAAACTCTATATGCAAAATCGTGTCAATTTTCAAGAGTACTTATTGTTTTTTTTAATGATTTTTACGAAAGCAAAAACCAACACCAAAAAGATTTCTTTAAACATAATATGGATTTTCAACTTTGGCCCGTGGCGCATATGAAAAATTTTATTTTGGTCCCTTGAAAAAAAAGGTTGCCCATGCCTGGTCTATACTATACTATACTATACCTATACCATACAAGTAATAAGCCTATTGAAAATGGGTGAAATCTGAGGTCAAATCCAATGACCCCTTGGGCCTTGGGGTCATGCATCTTTGTCTCTGCTAAATGCTTGAACCTACTCGGTTCAAACTGTGCTCAGTTGCCCTATATCATATATGCCACAACAAGCCTATTGAAAATGGATCAAATCCGAACGGCACCGTCGTGCTGTATTCAATCTGGATAGTAACGGTCTGAGTCCATAAGACATTCTTTGAACACGATTCAAATTCGCAAAATTGAGTAATCCATGGAGCTCCCGAGGGAGCTCCTTTTCGCGCAAGATCGGCACGATCCCACATCTAGCGGTTACTAGACTTCAATTATCCCTATCGGAAAATTGTAACGGAAAGACGCAATTGAATGAAACAGAAAATATTAGTCACGTTATCACAGATGTGAAGTTTTATCATGCTGATTTGCGCAAACGAAACAGATTTAAATGAATTGAGCCGCGGGACAATATCAATTGTACTACTAAAATATTCTCAGGCGAGCGTTTTCCGGAATAAACCACCTGTTTTCCTTCCTTTTTATCTCTGCGGTTAGCTAAATTAGCTTGTATTCGGCGAATTGGGTCAATTCATTCTTACACAGACATCCTACGTAATGCACTAATTGTGTCTTTCTCGATATTATATAAAAATACTGGCGATTTTTACGGGCGAGTTTGTGGGCGACGTGTAAAAATAGAGGTAGCTCGCGGCGGCGGAGGCGTCGATTTTGCAAAATGCGTCCGTTTCGACACAAAATTGACATATTGCATATCGATGCAATTGGCAGGAAGTAACGCGTAAGGTTACCTATTATAAAAATTACGGTACACTCGGTGCGAAAATTCAAAGGTGGAATTTTTCGCACAAAAATGCAGTAAATTAAAATGCAGAAATGCAAAAATAATTAGTCGGTTATCTACGAAATCCACGGTAAAATTTCGAACGTCGAATCCTTCTTTGGTCATGGGCGTCGGGAAATTCGACGCCTATGCAGTGCTCTCTTTTCAACCTTTTAAAATACCGTTTTTCTATCATTTATTTTCTACTCCGGCAACTACGCGCAGCTGCGCTTACTCCTGCAGGAAATATTTAACACACGGCGGTTCATATAAAATTAAATCCGACCAGTTTTCCCCGCACGTTATCGGAAAAATTAAATTCAACAAATACCGTAAGCCTCTTCTAGGGAAAAAATTCCAGACCTTGAGCGTTCAACATCTGTCACAGATAGTTTTTAACGGTTCACTCGGTTAAAAGTAGAATTCTTAATCATCGCAAATTTATTTTTTAAATTGTCTACATTTGAATAAGTTGTAACGAGATCGGGCGCCGTTTGCCAAAAATAGCCGGTCACATTTGCCAGAAGGTAGATAATGTTACATTCGTCAAAAATTTGCATAATTACTTCGAAATGAATTGTCCCGGAGGGGGACGTCGTAATTTAAGAATAAGAAATAATACCGGTACGTAGATAACCTATAAATAACCTGAAGTCTCAGCACAGATACAGAGTCCTTGACCAGAAATAAAGAAAAATAATATCGGGTGACTTCACGTAGACGTTTGAACAAAACAATCATTAATTCAATACGGGGGTAAAGTAACAATTGCTAGCTTTGTTTATAATCACGGAGGCGACACGACTTCATCACCGGAGGTGTGCTTTAAACCGAATAAGTTACATATTAAATTTCTGGCTGCAATAATCCGGTCGTTTTATGTTCGGTAATTTTGATAGATAAGCGTTAATATAGGTAATTTACCTTCTTTTGCTGCTTCTCCCAAGCGGGATCAAGTAAACCTTCACGTTCCCATTCCTCCTCTTGCTCCATGTAGCCGTCGGCGTAATCTATGTTATTGTAACCGTCGGTGGCGATCATTTTTCAAAAAAAGCACAAATTAAAAGTCGTTTTATTTTCAATTCGTTCGAGAACACACAATTCAATGTCGTGCAAAGCACACGACCTTACGCGTACCTAACCCCACTAGCTCGAGCCCGACTGTACAACTGGCAGTTAATCCTCTGGCGGTAAGCGCAAACGCAACCAGCTGTGCTACTCCACGAAGAGACGTGGTGTGCTTCTATGATAGCCAGAAACCGTACTAGATTAGAAAGTAATAATATTGTTATGATGTCCCCTACCTAGCCGTTTCACGTATTTTTAGAACAGCGAGAAATTATAGGTACCTCCTACACAATAACGAATTACAGCCTTCACACCATCAAAATTTTATCACCCTCCAGTCTTTATCATTTAAATCTTATCAAAAACTTATGATACCGTCAATAATGTGAAAAAAATACAGGTCCCACCGAGATTTGAACTCGGATCGCTGGATTCAAAGTCCAGAGTGCTAACCATTACACCATGGGACCGTATACGTAGCAGTTTCTACACCGAAACTTCAGCAATGCTTTTATTTAAAATATAAATAACTTCATACAAGAACAAACAAATACATATTTATAAAAGAATGTTACTCTTACAATTAATTGTATAAAAATCTGGTGACAAATCTGGCTAATCTCGCTAATCACATCTACTAGGAATCTAGTCACCTATATACCTTTGGATTTAAAAAAAAAAGCTAGAGTTTAGCCCAAATGCTATTAATATTAAAAAACCTACTACGATTTCCTCGTTGGTTAATTAAACAACTGCATTTCGAGTATATACGACCAACGACCGTGATTTCGACCCCGCTGGACCTAGCCCCCCCACCATTGTGAATCAATTTAAGAATGGTATCCAATTTATGAGCTATTTAGGAGCTTTTCATATCGCAAGCTTAAAATTTTAGAGCTCGCTTAAATCCCTAGGAATCGAAAATTCCTTATGGGGTGGCCGAGTCTACTTGGACTCAGCCCCCCCCACCCCACTGATCAGAATTACTTTTTCAAATTAAATTTTGTACTGGAATTACGAGCTATTTAAGAGCTTTCATTTACAAGTAATTTCGATTTTTGAGCGCCACCCTTAAAAGAGCAAATAGATATAATTGATGGGGCGGCCAGCTCCACTTGGACGTAGACCCTGCTCTGTTATTGTTTACTTATTTCAAATTAATTTTCATGCATAAATTACGAGCTATTTAAGAGCTTTCATTTACAAGCAATTTCGATTTTTGAGCGCCACCCTTAAAAGAGCAAATAGATATAATCGATGGGTCGGCCAGTTCCACTTGTGACTGTTACAGCTTCCTAGTGCGTTTAGTACTTGTGTGCATCCAAGGAAAAGTCCTGAATCGACTACATATGAGTCTAATTCTGCAATCGGTGCTTTGTTGTCTGTTACTCTAAAGATTTTCCTTTTAGTAAGGTTTTCTGTTAATATAATTGAGCAACTGCCGTCAGGATTGCGTATACCTCGTCTTGGAGCAAGGGTGCTTTTTGTCCTAGTTTATGAAGCCCTGTCAATTGCTTCCGTACACTCCACAGCCGGTGCCCTCCGTAGTTTTTGAGCCATTTGTGTAATACACGATTCCATTCAGCTTTACCTTACTAGTATTATCCTGCCTCCCATCCGTATCGAGCGGGGATTATCATCTTAAACAGTTTTTTTTATCACAAACTGTTTTGGTTATCCTCTCAGTTATCCTACCGAGCTATTTTACTTTTAGATGTTTCATCAAAGATTAAGCGAATGCCTCACCCTTGACGATTCCTCCTCTCCATTAACTCTCAGCCAGTATGCCCGTCTGAGTGCCTCTGCCATAATTACCAGGTGTAGTGGCGGTTCATAGGTATAGTTTCCATAGCTACTGTCAGGGACGTTATCATTGTCCTCGTAATTCTAAGGCAAGCTTTGCGCTGCAGCTTGATCAGTATCTGTATGTTCTTCTGGGCAAAGGTCTGATCCTACCACATACGCATACGTAATAACTGGTATAATTATTTTAGTGTATATTCAGGGACCTTGTGACGTTGTTCGCTATTTTTTCCATTTGTAATTTGAAGTTAGGCCCTTGGCCGAACGTGATGCCCAAGTGTTTACCTTCTCTCACTACCTGTAGCTTGGTGCCCTACATTGCAAGGTCCTTTAGCTTTGTCGGCACTTTTGTACGTGAGAAAAGCTAATGAGGTTTGTTTCTGTTGAATTAACAAACAAGCCTCCTCTTCGCACTATGATTCCACTAGATTTAAAGCTCCATGCCTCACAACTGATACGATCTCCTCAAATCCCCTACGTACTACAATCACTATGTCATCGGCAACACTGTGGTGTAACCCGCATCATTTAATCTCCAGCATTTTGGCTTTCGATCCTTTTGGGGTTCCACTTGAGGATCCAGGCGTGTGTCCTTCCGGTCTTCGTTTCGAAGAATCAAAATGTCTGCCCCCACCCCCCTGGAGCTGCTCTCGCTAGCTCTGACCTCAAGCAGTCCACCGATACCATGGATTGCGCATGTGATCAGCAGCGCTCTCCCTTGTGGCGACATTCCGTAAATTGGGGAAAAGCATCGACTCTGTCAAGGATCCAGGCTTTGATTCGCCATATGTCCTCTTACCGAGAGTCTCCTGGTTCCTGTCGCATTCCTTATTAGCTTCCGGTGCGCCGCTCCGGAGAGTTTTTTAGGCTCTTTAATACCGGTGCTCTCGGAGTAGTTTGTTGAGTTTTCTGTTTTTTCTTGGGCCATAAGAGTGCCACCAGTATGGGGGAAAGAAATGTCCACTCACAGTCGTATGCAAACACAGAGAGTACGTACTGATGCAACTAACCGGTAGCTCAGAGGTAAGGCTACTGTGAAATGGACCTGGCCGCCCTCAACGATTGACTATTTGACTATTGAGGGTGGAGCTCAAAAATTAAACTTACTTATTAAATGAAAACTTTTCAACAACTCGTAATTCATGGACAAAGATTAATTTGTAATAAATAAAGAAAAACAGATTAGGGGCTACGCCAGAATAGAACTGGCCGCTCCCAGGATGACATCTATTTGCTCTTTTTAAGAGTGACGTTCTTAAATTGCAATTACTTGTAAATGAAAGCTCTTAAATAGCTCGTAATTCATGCATAAAAATTAATTTGAAATAAGTAAACGATAACAGAGGAGGGGCTACGTCCAAGTGGAGCTGGCCGCCCCATAGATTATATCTATTTACTCTTTTAAGGGTGGCGCTCAAAAATCGAAATTGCTTGTAAATGAAAGCTCTTAAATAGCTCGTAATTCCAGTACAAAGTTTAATTTGAAAAAAGTAATTCTGATCAGTGGGGGGGCTGAGTCCAAGTAGACTGGGCCACCCCATAAGAAATGTTCGATTCCTAGTGAGTAAAGCGAGCTCTAAAATTTTAAGTTTGCGATATGAAAAGCTCCTAAATAGCTCATAAATTGGATACCATTCTTAAATTAATTCACAATGGTGGGGGGGCTAGGTCCAGCGGGGTGTGATTTCGAGCCACCAAATTAAATTCGAACGGAATGATCATGGAAATATATGCCCGCGCAACCTATCATACACCCTCAACGTTTCTTACAAATCTAACTGAATATATGCACTCACACCCACCAGCTAACTAAAGTCTGTTTGATTTTATCTATCACCTAGTTCAGCGGATATTTTGACAAAATGTTACAGAAGAATAATTTTGCATTATCTGCTACTTATAGCCTAAAAAACAAATAATTTAAAATTAAATCTACCAAATTTTCTTACGTAATACTTAAGTATGTACGTATTTTGAAACTGAAACTGTACAAAATTATCTTTACAGCTACATATTAGTATATTATACATTGCGTATAGTATATAATCAATTGAAAAGTAAATCAATAATTAAATGCACACATGAAATTATTTGTCAGTTTCCTGTTGCACAAAAAATGAGTGGCGGTAGAGTGCCTTTGGAAGTTTGGAGTTAATAAGTAGGATTTCTCATGTAAAAAAAATTCCAAAACTGGTTCGTCAGCAACTCATTTTTGATCGCATAGCATAGTTTTCGAAAGAAAAAAATTTCCCTTATGTGATGGTTTTGTCCGTCTGTCCGTTTGTCTGTTCCCTGTCTAACTCGAGAACGCAAAGAGACAGCGATGTCAAATCTTCGCCAATCGATTTCTATGATTTCAATGATCAGTGCTCTTGAATATGAGCCGGATCAAATGTCTGGTTTCCGAATACGAGCTGAGTGACAAAAAATTCCCCTACTGAAAATCGTATTATTCGTATCCTGTTTATTTTATTTATTGTCTCTTTTTTGTTCTGGGTCCTCAACAGGCTTGTGTCCAATTACAGAGTGACCCGCATATAATGATTTTAAGAGGTGCCCCTGCAGAAGGTAATAGTACTATCTTAGTATCTTGACAACATAGAGCACCCAGGTAAATCTAAGTATATATTGTTGTGTTTTTTTATTAGGCCGCAGTTGGTCGGCATTTATTTACTCTGGAAAGACGTTTATTTCCCATTTTTATGCAGAGGATCGTTGTTTTAGTTCAATTAATGCTCGGCCGGAGTTAATTAAGAAGTTGAAGTCTGGGAAAATCGAATCCGTAATTAGTGTGTTTAAATGTAATAAATTTTGTCTTGTTATTGTTAAATTCGTGGAAGGTAGCAGAGTGCTCGCGCTTTGCACAAGTGTTACTTTAGATAAGGAAACTTTTAGTTGTTTAAGAACGAATTTCATAGGAATTTTGGCGTGGTAAAACTCGTAAAAGTGCCAGTCTAAGTTGATTTACGTTCGGTCATAGTTTCATTTATGCAATTATGCTATTGGTCCGCGGAGTCGACCGTTAAGCCTTTTCGGATCCGACATTCAAATTATTCATGGAAAAGCGTGGCAACGAGATTTGACGATACTGGAGTATAAATGATTTTGAACAGCGAAGAGGAGGGGCTTATTGTACCGTTTCGCAAAGCCTACGTTTGGTCTTATGGGAAGATTTTTTTGAAAAGTTTATTGTAGCGGCGTTTGCATAAGTTACGCTAGTTTATTCGTCGTGTGTTGTTTTTTTTTTTGAAAGTCCGGGAACGTGTTTTTTTCGCCGGCATCGTCGAGGAGTTTAAGGTCTTTGGAAGGAGTTTGTTGGAGAGGAAACGAGCGGTACAATAACGCCATTTTGAGCAGCGAGAGTTCGTTTGTGTTGTAACATCATCTGGAGGAGACGGAACGTTTGTTTAACGCCAGCATCGCCGAGGAGCTGTCGGAGTAGCTGTATCAGCACATACCTGGGGCCGTGTTTGTGCTTTTGTGTGTGTTTCGGTCGTGGGTGCATTTTGGAATTTAGCACCGTGAGTACTGTTATTTTTGTTTTAATTTTAATTGTAAGAATCGCCGTCTGAGACGGTTTTGTGTTTCATTTCATGTCAGTCATTTTTTTTTCGGATTTTGTAAATTTAGCCTTTTAAATTTTTTTTTTTGTCATTTATTATTTGTGTGTGTAAAGTAAAAGTCAAGGATTCGAGTTTCTCAAATTTTAAGTTTTCTTTTTTTTTCCCGAGTGTGAAACGAGTTTGGTAAAGTAAAAAGGTTTGGATCATCGGTGGGACTTAGATTTCATTCCAGAAGTCAGTTAACAAGGGATTATTTTGTTTGGAATTTAAGGGAGGTATTAGCCACCGACCCGGCGAGGTTGCTACCCCTTGTCCGGACGAAGAAAAGGGGTAGTCGGACTCATTTTACGGGCCCTGAGATTTGTGTTTTAAGAGTTTGTGTGGGATTGAGCTAGTAAGGGTAAGTTGTGTGGATATTTTTCAGGCTTAGGAAGTATACACAACAATATGTAAAAGAAAAGTTAACAAACTTTCGATTATCAAGCGGCCTAGCGTTCGACGAGAACATTGTCTTGAATTAGAAGATGGGTTAACTTATGGGAATACACAGCGCCTGATGAAATGATGAGACTGACTTGTACTCGGAATTTTAGACAAAGGCACCGAGGAAAAATTGCGATAATACACAAATGAAATTTGTCTGTGTGGATGGTGATGAAATTTGAGTACGTTTTTTTTCCAAAATTGGGGTTCCCCCTAAAAGGCGCGCCACTGTGCAGTTGCCCAATACATCCGTTCGTATATCTAGCCACATCCAACATAACCACAAAAACATAACCTAGCGAATGAGCTTGGAATACGATTTACCTAGGATATTATTTGCCAGTTTGATATTAAAATGGAATATAATCAAAAAGCGAGGTAAGTAAATTGCCATTATTTGCAATTTGATATTGAATTGTTATTTTCTAGGGGACAGAAGCACCATAAAAATAAGGCCCGCTATAAACCAAAACATGAGGGTAAGAAAAAAGGGAATGATCAGGAAAATCAAGTAGCAAGGCGATCACTAGAACCCAAAAAAGACAAATCTGAATTCAGTTACACGAGTAGTGATGACTTTGAGGATGACGAGCTTATATCAGAAACTGAAGCTGTTGCATTAAACGATTTCACTTTACTAGCAGAAGCTCCGATATCGGTTGGAGGCCATTTTCAATTTAAACGTGATCGGAATATGGAAGCAGGATGTGATTTTAAAAGCTTAAGCGAAAATGATTTGTTTTCTTTAGATTTAAATGTTTTGCAATACAGTTTAGGTTGCGTACCTTTTTATGAAAGATGTGGTATTAGCAAAGATCATTTTACTGTAAGTTTGTGTGTGGAATTGATAGGGGAATTTTATATTTAGATAGTTTTAGGAAAGTGAAATAGAAGCAATGGATGCAAGGGCCCATTCTAACAAAGTTCAATATGAAAGTTATTTAAAATTGAGTGCAATCATTAAGAAAGATTCTGGCAGCAGTAGTGGAGATTTTCATATTTCTCAAAGTACAAATGATACTGATAACAAAATCACTGATATTAGCACTAGAGAACCACACTCGGGTAGGTTTGTTGAACTATTAGTCAAGAGTTCCTAGTTTATTTAGGTAGCTGCTGCTGCTTTTCCTAAAGAACTAGTAAATTAATCTTTAATCTTGCATTTCTAATTACCTATATTAATTTTTATCTCTGTGCCTTTTCTAGCTTGTGAGGAATCTACACATAGTGCTTTGGGTTCTTCCAAATTGGATGTGGATGTGAATAAGGTTGAATTAGAAGATTGGTTGGATGATATACTTGGTAATTAAGAAAAACATGCACTTTGAGACTATTTTTTTTACAGTTGTTAATAAAAATTGTTTATATTCTGTTTGTCTTTCACTACAACTAGTTTGTTCATAAGGGTTAGACAACCGAAGTAGGTCCTTGCATTGTTTAAAAAAGTATTTCAACAACGGTGTTTGTTTGTGCAGGCTGTGATAATTTGTGCACCTCCTCTCCGTTTATAATTTTACTTTAACAGAAAAACCTGAAAATGTACCTACTTACCTTTTCTTTGAAAGAAACAAATCCATAGTGTTCCTTTGTATTTTTAACGCAATTTAATTTAGAGAGACAGGAGTCACCAGAACATTGGTAATAGCTCAAGGAAATAAATCCAAATAAGACCTACAGTGATTCAACTCTTTAGTTCCCTAGGGCTAGGATATCCTATAGCCATGATTACGCCTTATGATATAACTACTACTTTTTTTTAAATTTGTAGGTACATGAGTTATGGTACAGTTCCCTAATCAGTAGGTTTCACAAATAAAATCTTCAGTACCTAAAGCCACAGAAATGAATCTGTGCTAAAGCATTGAATAAAAAAAGCTAACAAACTCAATGTCGTTGTGCCTGCTGTCCGCAACCAACAATACATGTTGATAGCCAGGTAATTGCATTGAATTTATTCGTTTATAAATACAATGGAAATAGCCAATAGGGACTCGTAGTTTCGTACCTACCTATAAATATTGCAATGATTATGAAATTTGCTAATAACAATCTCTAACATTCACAATAAATTTATTATTAGTGCACTTTTACTTTACCATATAGTACCTGTTATTGTTATTCCCATTACCGTATTCTCCAAATTTCTGATTACCCTGGCATTGGGCATTGGCTCGCTTCTCCCGTCCTGTCCTAGCGAAATTAAATACCTACCTCCTTCCTTCATAATGGTAATTAGGTACTAGCACAGATATACGCTGTGGTATTGTCTCTTCTCTACTAATTCTTAGTGAACCCTCGTACGCACCTCGAAAGAGGCGACGGCTCTAACGCAGGGTCTTATTCAAGGACCTGCCTAAGGCTGTGTCTGGGTCGTTGGATCAGTAGGGAGGCAACCCGACGTCATCAGGGACCAAACGTCTCACATCGGTGGGACCAGGACGAGCGTATCCTCGCATTTGGTGTCGATCAGGTAAGGCATCCTGTCGGACACTCCAGCGGCAGAATTTTCAGGCACACGCGAGAGTCCCGCGCGTCATTGTTTCGTTATTTTATTTATTTATTGTTCTTCTTGTTCTGGGTCCTCAACAGGCTTACGCCCAATTACCGAGTGACCCCCATAATGCTTTTTAGAGGTGCCTCCCTGCAGAATGTCTTAAGTTGTTCTATACTACTCCGATATTTACCTTACGAATTAGGAAAACTGCAGGAAAACCTAATTCGGAGTAGCCGGCAGAATGCTCGAAACTGATCTAAGGAAATTCTCATCTGCCACAGATGAAAAATTCCCCAGGTTCGAACACCCGATCTCCGGTTTTGTAGCCCAACGCTCTACCACTGAACTACAATGCCGGTATTATGGACTTCCAAGAGGCGTCGGGATTACTACCGGTGCCCTCAGAGATCGAAAAAGATGTCGACGAGCTTTTGGCTCATGTGACGGTTCTTGGCTCCGTCCATGGGTCGGAACCGTCGGCATCACTTGCGCAGGAGGGACAAGGCGACCTTCTTATAAGGCAATTTGCACCACAGTAAAGGGACAGTGGCGTAGCAAGACCTGTGCACAGGAGAATCTTACCTACCGTAATAAGCATATTTACATATGCAGTGACAGTCAGGTAGCGCTGAGTGCCCTGTTAGCAGATAGGTTCCGGTCGGCTACGGCGCTTGATTGCAGGCGAACTGTAGATAAACTGTAGGGTTTCATTGGGTAAGCTTGATCTGGGTGCCAGAGCACTGAGGAATAGGGGGCAACGAAAGGGCGGATGACCTCACTCGTGAAGGTAGTGGTGGGATCTTCGTCTGGCTCGAGTCTACCCTAGGAACTGATCCCTCCGTTGTTTGGGCCAGGATTACAGACTGGGTGGCGAGTCAATTCCAGGCTCACAGGCAACAAGAAACAGGAATCAGGCAGTCCAGGGTCTTTTTAATAGGACCTGTTAGTAAATCTGCGTCTTCTAAGCTTCTAAAAGAAACCAGGTTAGGAACATCACCGGTGTCCTTACGACGCAATGGATGGTTAACTATATCATCTGCATAGCATTAGGCTTGTGGAGGAGCCCATGCGCAGGTTCTGTGGTGAGACAGATGGAACTGTAGGAAACGCGATCTGGCACTGTGACGCCTTAATCAGAGACAGACATCAGTTCCTTGGCGACAGCTATCTGGAAACGGGGAGGGTGAAGCAACTTAGGCTAAACAGTGTCCTATCCTGCCCTGTGAATAGAATAGAAACCGAGATAGAAACCCTCGTATGCCGTAATACCTTTTTTAATTACTTTTAAGTTTTAACCTTATTGAACCCCTCCTAAAATTCTCCCCAACAAACTGAGCACCCCTTTTCCTTTCATTAAACCCCTTATCGAATTTTGGGGGAGAGCATAGCGCCGGGGAGTCTGGGAGGTATTGGTATGGAATAACCCCCAGAAACCTCCCAGCACACAGAAGGAATAGATTATTTTTTCCCAAAAACTATCAGGACTGTTGCTTCTAGGATAGGGTCATCAAGTCTCCTTTTGCTGGGCGGTACCCCTAGACCACCCGGTGCTACATTGCCCCCAAAATGTTCAGCCCTTAAAACTTTCGTGTATCGAATATCTCTCAAAAAAGAAAAATTTCATGATACTTAGAAAATAATTATAACCATACTATAATCATCGTAATCATTTTGGGTGAAGGCGTAGCACCGGGGGCTGGGAGGGGGGGGGGTTTATACCCCCGACGACATGATTTTTTTCATTAAGGTGAACAATCATTGGGATCAAGAAATTTCCTTCGTAGTCAGTAGTGCAGTGGCCATGTTTGATTGCAACAAACACCTGATTTGGATTGGTGAACATTTCAGATTGTTTTATTTTTATCTCCAAATACTTAACGTAACCTTTGACAGCCCTTACTATTTGTAAGTCATAGCTCCTACAGAAATTAAGTACTATCAGTTTAACGCAATTGGATTTTTTTTTAGTTGCCAAGTAAAAAACTAATGCAAGCGTTAACCTTTGATAACGAAAAAAAATATTTCTAAATATAACTGATCGATTGCCACAGTTTTACAAGACCCAAAATTCACCATCGTTATTGCTGTTGATAGGAAAATGTCCTGGCCGCGACAGCAATATATACCTACGATTTTCATTGTTGGTCTCTTAAAATAGAATATATTGCATTGCATTTGATATTGATATGTAGTTGTGTTTAATGATGCAACGGAACTTTTATAAACATTGATCGATTAGATACCAAAACTGTTTTGCAAACCACTACTTAAGTAAGGTGCCGTCGAAAGTTAGGCTCACTTTTTCCACTACACTTGTACAGAAATCATCTAGATATGTCCGATACAGTAATTCGTACACGAAGTTTAGGGACCCCTGCGGAAGGTATACGAGATCAGTACGCCGACGGTAAAGCGGCAAAAGTGTGGGAATATTTTATTGGGGACCAAACCTCAAGAACTCAAACCTATAAGGACTTCTTGGTGAATCTTTTGCGCAAAAATGGCTGCAAGAGGATACTAGACGTTGCTTGTGGAACAGGGTAATTTTTAGAAAACGACGTACATTCCAAGATTTTATTTTATTTGTATAGTGTGGATTCCGTCATGCTTCTTGAGGAAGGTTTTGAAATGGTTTCAATTGACGCTTCTGATAAAATGTTGAAATACGCGTTAAAAGCGAGATGGTCGAGAAGGAAGGAGCCAGTGTTTGACAAGTGGGGTAAGTATTCTGCTTCGTAGTTTTGTAGTTAAGGTGAATGACAACAATAATTTGGTGGGATTCGGAATTTGTTCATAGATCTTTAAATAGCTAGATTAAGAGTGGTTTGAAATGTACCAAAATGGTGGTTACGTATTAACTAAACTTTGATCTACATCTTATCTCGATAAACCCAATTATTTAAATAATCATTGATATAAGAGCATACTTATGTGTTTTTTTAACACGTGCTTGCAATATACTTCTGAAGTATGATTTATTCGCCAGATGATAAAAATTACGTCCTTTTTTCCTTGATTGTAGTGAGAAATATGGTTATTTTTTAAGTGTCGTTGGAATTTCCTAAAAGAGGAAAAAAGCGAAACGATATTTGATTCGGCTCAAAAAAGCACCAATATATCGAGTCTTTTTTAGCGCATTTTCCAACTCATGTCAGAAGGCGCCATTGTGGTCACTTTTTTTAATCGTTACACGTTTCAAGATATTTAGTTCGACCTTTTGCATTTGGTAGCTTACAGCTCTGACACCTTAACGATGAATGCGCGCCTGCGCAGGCTGCTCAATATCAACTTTTTTTATCTATAGATATTTTTTGAAATTTTAATCACAGATTCTTCTAGTAAAGGCCAACGTATCGCATATTTTAAACATTATGTGTGCACATGCGTAAACTGCGCAATGCAGTTTCTTATTCAAGGGAATATTTATGCCGCCTTAACTTATTTTCTTTTGCACACATATATATTGACATCTAAGTCAGAAAAAAGGTCATTTAAGGACATCAAATCCCTGTCAAACATCTGCACTCACCAATTTTTAATCTGCTCATTTCTTTTGTAAACTGAACAAGCTTCGGTATGCTGTCACCTAACCAGAAAATTGCAGTAAGTAATGCTCAATTGCAAAAAATTTGCTTGAAAAACCAACCCACTATGCAACGGCGAATTGGGAACTAAATATATTAGACCTGCAAGAAGCCCCTACGTTACTCAGTAACACTTCTTTTTATGAAGAAAAATGGCCGCGTTTACCGTCCACAACAGGAAAGAACTTGTACCTACAGCGGATTTAAAATTTACTTTACTACAATTTAACCAATTTACACAATATGTTTACTTGGTTAACTGCTATTTCTTAACCAAGCGTCACTGTGTTTGTTGATACATATTTGATTAGACAAGATGTTTTTCTGGATAATTGCTTTTGTTATTTCTCAAAAATCTATTAAAAATCTAATTGCATTGTCGATCAGCATTGCTACCACACTTATCATCAAATAAAAGTTTAGATGGATCCTTTCAACAATGTTTTCATGTCTATGGAGGGGATGTTCTCGAATGATGTTGATTTTTCAGCACCCCGTATATTACTTATTCAGTAATGCAATGTTAAATTTCCAGTTATCGAAGAAGCAAACTGGATAACGTTGTATGATGACATCAAACATTTTCTGGGTGACGGATTTGATGCCGTAATATGTTTAGGAAACTCATTCGCGCACTTGATGGACTCATTCGGCGATCAAAGGGAACAAAAGTAAGTAAATACTGAACCGTGCCTGTCAGTGAATACCGAAATAAAATTGTATTGCCACCTTAATCTAAAAGAAAAATGTACGCGTTAAGCTGCAAGTCATCGTACAATGATTGGCGAGTGCTATGACTTACGAAAAAATTGTATAAGAAAAGCTAAACACTTACAGTACCCGTGGACGTGATAAACTCAAAGCAATTAAATTAGTGTAGAGTAACATCATAATGTAAATATTTTCGTAGGCAAGCTATAAGAAACTTTGAAAAATGCATTAAACCCGGAGGATTTCTTTTGATTGACCACAGGAATTATGATTACATAATTAAGACCGGACAGACACCGTCGAAGTGCTTTTACTATAACGTAAGTGCCTTTTTGTTATCGCTATAAATCAATACCCTTTGATCTAGTCACGCTTGTTGCTTCTTTTCTTTCTAAAAAAACGTTCTATCTATCTATCAACAGTAAGTGATGAATGTAATTTTTGCACAGAGCCAACGTACGGCAGATATTCAAACTTCCGTTCTGTATGTATCCGGAAAACCGTCGGTGGTGATGATGGACTATTTTATAGAAGTTCCGAAAACAAGACCTGATGAGGAAAACAGTGTCAGGTATGTTTTTGCTTTTTATTCCTTTCAACACAAATCATTCCTTTTCTATAGCGAATTTCGTCTGTCTTACTATCCACATAAAATTGAAGACTTTAAAACCATGTTAATGGAAGCGTTTGGGAAAAGGGCGAACTACAAGGTATACGGTGATTTTGTTGAATTGAAAGACAACGATGTTCCTAATTTCTACATACACTTTGTGCAGAAGAGCGTAAATAATAATTATTAATTAAATGAAAATGTTAATTTATATATATTAGAGTTTATTGGTACAGTATTTAGGGATAAACCCTTTGCTAGTTTGCAAGGAGTAGGTATCATTAATTTTGTTACACGTGTTGATATAAAAAAAACCTGAAAGCAATGGAGTTTAGTGGCTGGGATTGCGAGGTGAGAAAGCATTTCAGCTGCTCTGCATCGAAGATGTTACATAAGTTGTATATGCTTCAGGAGTTTTTATGCCTGTGAAGCGGAGTTATGGGAATATAACGAGGACGACTTCGATAATCAGTCAGACTGAGTTAAAAATCGGATGTATGTTTAGTTTGTACAAATAAAAGTTGATATAAATTTCCTAAATTAGTGGGCAGTGGCGCTTCTATCTTTTATAGCAGAACCCCTTCAGAAAAAGAAAAACCTACGAGGGTAAGTAAGTAAAGGATATCCCAAATTGTTTGGAGCATTGCATATCCCAATTACGAACGAATCATATTTTATATATTAATCTTATTAGATTTTTTTTACTATACTTAGATGTGTTAACACTAAATTTGGTTTTTCATAATTTTAGTAGGTATTTATTTTACGGTTCATACACAAACCGCGATACAAAACATTACTTTCAGCACTTTCGGATGGTATGCGTTTTGTATATATCAATACCATTTTAGAATTATAAATAAAACTCTTATGCAATTATGTTTAAATGACTTGAGCCAGTGAGAACAACACTCCAACACTGCAAATGCTGCATCCCTTATCTGTGAGTGTGAGGTGCATGGGGCTTGCGACACCTCTGAATAAATATCTACCTACACTACGCTGATAACAGATTTGCTGTTGAACCCCATCTATTCATTTCCTTTTTCCCCTTCCTGATATTACTGTGCCTATGCTAAGTATTTACTTGTTTTTACGTATTTCAATTTCTCTCCCTATTCCATACGTGTTTTCCATTTCTTTCAGTCGTACCTTCATATTCGCTCGAGCTCTTCTATCTCCTTGCGTTTATTTAGCAACCATTGTCTCCGTGCTCTTTAGTTTCTCTTCTTAATTCATTATTCAGTCGTCGGTATTTTTCCCTCTGCCGCATTTTTGTCGCTTTTTTCCATCTTTTCAATCATTTCAAATGCTATCTATGGCTTCTTTACTGTTTTTCCATCCTTCATTGCCACCTCCCATTGCCCTTCCTATCTGTGTATTATTGACCCATCTCCCTTAATGTTACCAGATCCTATTCATTTACTCTTTTTGGGAATTTAATCCTTTTTAATTTTATTTCCAACAAAAGAACATGATCGCTATCTGCACTTGGCAACCAATACGCATTTGTTAAACCCATTTCTGTATTTCTCTTCAATCATAATGAAATCAATCTGCTTTCGGTATCTGTCTCTGGGGGATTTCCAGGTGTCAAGTTTCCTTTTATGATGTTCGAACCAAGTGTTGGCTATGACCACCTTCCTTTCCTTGCAGAATTCTATTAGCCATACACCCATTTCATTCTTTGCTCTCAATTCATAATCTCCAACGACCGTCGCAATATTCCTCGTCAAGTTGTACCACGTGAAGATGAGTTGGCCCATTTTTTTACATTCGCATAATTTTCAGAATCTATATTGCTGTGTGCAATGGCCACCCACAAAACACCTGCCCAGCTAGCTCAAAATAAAGTAATCGGCATTTGCTACAAAGAAAAATCCCAATATTCACTTAAATTAATAATGTGTGCAGTATCCTCGATCAACTTCTGGGAATTACAAAGGATTAACTACACAAACTTGCATTAATGGGTTCGAACAAATTATTAATTGACAATACCAAAAATGGATGCCCAAACATATTAGATGAAAAAATGAAAACAAAATTCCTGGAAGAATGAAAAGCTTACAAAGCTTGTTTAACCAAATTACCCCGCACGCAAGCGTTCCATAATTAAAAATTAAAAAAATCTTAAAATCACTTACCTACTACTATACTTTTAATTTTTACGAAGGAAACCTAAAGTCACTTGACTAACTTTTTCTGGAAAAAAGGGCATCACGCTTCAAACTTCTCACAACTTTTAAACAACTTCAGTTAACATTCTTCTGTACACAATTCTTCCTCCGGTATTTAACAAAAATGCGATGAAATCGAATCCGTAAATGGAATTCAAAATATCAATAGTAAAAGTAGCAAAGAACTTTTATCATTACTTTGTGAGTACCCTATTCCGACACACCGTTTTCCAAAATACATTATATCACCGTTGCTGGTAATCCGATTAGGTCGAATTGGATGTGCTTCAGAGAGACCTATCACTTTCTCTTTGTGAGTACCGACGTCTGACACTCCGTGTTCGAGATATTCACATTTGAAGGTTCACTAACAGAATCGTTTAGTCATCGGCTAAAACAAATAGCCAATAGTAGGGAGGGGACCCAAACTCGAAGTGTACACTCTAATAAATCCGATTCTAAAGTAAGTGAAATTTGTAATGATTTGCCCTGGGACCAAATTTATCCTTTCTTTTTAGGTGGCATGAAAACGATTTTGTATGTATTTTTCAGCACAATTTGGCGTGACTATTCCTCAAAAAACCTCTACAAATAGTATATTACAAAATACTCACCTTACCATAAGCTAATACCATACTAAAAATCATCTATTTATAGTTCTAGTAATTAGTGGCGACTTTCAGTGGGTTTCCTGACAAATGTGTACCTATATTTTGAATGTAGGTATTATATTCAGTTTCAGCCCACATTTTCCTAATTTTCTATGCGTTGTTTGAAAATGTCGGAGATTGTCGTTAGCGGAACGAGAATGGTCTGTTCCTTATAGAAAAAAGTTACACGATAACTTTACCATCCGGTGGTTAAATCATGACTGCAGACTGACTAGAGTACCGAAGAAAAGATCCTAGCTTAAGAAACATATAAGGGCTAGTTGTAAATTAGTTGTAAATGAATTTAGAATGTAAAGTTCTCACCACCCCTTCCGGGTGAAGAAGTTAATACCATGGAAAATTGCATGTTGCGAAACGAAAAATTGGCGAATAATGGAAAGATGAACAAAATCATGGATTTCGTTGAAACCAAAAAATGTGTAAATAGGATGGAACACTTATTTTCAGATAAGTTTTAAGTCGTTCTGGGGCGGTGACTGTTGCAGTGTAGCACGTAAGCCAAACCAAACTTCAATGCGAAAATGACAAATAAAGACAATTGTATAAAGAATAGGTATAATGTAGATTTTTTCCTGCACGCTACGTATACGAATGGGAGTTATCGTTTTGAGAAACAATGCGAAAAGGAGCTGTACGTGACCATTCAAGGCGATTTGTTATGTTTAAAATTGTATTATTGATAATAGTCGGTTCAAGAATAAAATCTCAGCTGACCCTCGGTCACGTTCCGGTGTAGAAGGTGTTGATAGAACGTACGTTTCAGACCAATTTTGATAGTGGTCCTTTTCCATCACGCATGGTGGGGTATTAATAGATTCGCGAAGTCTATTGTTATCTGACTGTACCATCAATGTGTACGGGTCAGTGGTGCGGGAGGTGACCAGTTGCGGGACGCGTGCTAGTGGGAGATACCTGCTTCTATACCTGGTGTTTGGCAGTGTCCGCTCAGCGGTCCATTGATTGCGACTTCAGCATCCACCGGTCAAAATCTTAGCGAGCGGTGTTTGACGGGAACGAATTTTCACACATTGGTACCGGAAGTCGTAAGACTTTTATTTGTATTTCATAGTGCTGTGTGAAAATCATAAGAAAATATGGACACATTATTTCCGTTTAACCACGAGTTATCCCAAAGACTTTGTCTTCCGGTGGAGAGTCCGACGTATACTGATTCCAATAACAATAGTGATTCAGATAAGACGTCGAGCGACGACAAGTATTCATTAAGACCGCGTCTGTTGCGGCGAAGAAACGCCGAACAAGGGGTGGAAAAGGTACCAAAAACTCGGACGCCGAAACCAAAGCAAAAACCGGCGCCTCTAAGTAAATATAGGCGTAAGACCGCAAACGCTCGGGAAAGAAGTCGCATGAGGGAAATTAATCAGGCATTCGAAACGTTACGTCGTGCCGTCCCATCAATCTACTCGACCGATGTGAGTACCAACGAAAAGTTAACGAAAATTACAACGCTCAGACTTGCAATGAAGTACATATCAACTTTAAGTGCCGCGTTAAACGGTCCCGACCTTATAAATTCGGACTTCTTTTCGGATTGCAGTGATTTAGATTGTTTACTGTTAGAATCTGACGGCGAATCGCTGCCTTTGAGATCAGATTTTTCCGATAATTCACTGACACCCGCGGACTTTGCAGTCGATTTCCCGGAGGAATCCCTCACGTCCGTCGATTTTTCACCCGATTTTACGGATCATCTGTCATCGTTCGACCCATTTTTTTCGAACATTAGTTAGCCGACCTTGCACTAAGTAAGTGGACAATTAAAATGATTTTGTGTAATTTATCTTATATTTACCCAATACTTAGTATTGTAAAAATTACAACCCGCAATGCGATCAACCGCTCAAGTCGTTACCTGAGCGCCGGGCGGTTTTATATTTATAGGTATTTATGATTTTTATTGTATAGATTGCAATTACGTATATGTTAATATAATTTTGTCATTTATGGTGTATTTTATTTAAATGGAGAGTGATCAGAGTTTGTAGTAAAAGTTGTTTATTATATACCCAACTAATTATGCAATAGTAGCAGCCTGGAAATTAAAAGGTAAGAAATGCGTAAGCGAAGAAAATTGGAACCAAGGTTGGCGTTTCCACTAACTTTTTTTTTAAATCTCGAGTTCAAAACACTTTTAAGGAAAAAATGTGAAATGGATACGTAACTGGAATTTTTATTATTTACCCATGTACTTATTAGATTCATTATGTAAACGTAAACGCTATACTTAATTTTCTCCGAATTCGTGTCATCAGATGAAACATTAACTTTATGTTCATCACGTAGCAAATGACTCAAAAAGCGCACGACATTTTTCTGAGATTTTCGAAGAGTATCGATCCTATTGTTTGATTTTTTCATCGAGATTCGGATTATGTCCATTAAGGGTTTTTTACCGAGTAAAAACTTTACAAGGTATTTTAGATAACCATAACTTTTTTCTAACAAAGCGCGCGGTGATGGGGTTTCTTGATGATAATGGGAATCTATTAAACGATATCAGCCATTGTTTCGAGTTTTAGTTTTTATTTAACCTTCGATCTTCTGTAATTGTTTTCGTTTGTTTAAATTGCGACCATATTATTTAATTACACGTAATGAAAGTTAATTGAGATTCTAACCATTAAATTAAACCAAAAAGTTGCCTACAAGAAATCTGATAAAAACGTTTAGGATTTTTAATTGAGTAGCGTGATATACATCTTTAATCAAATTATAATTTATTAAGATTAAATCTACAAGCGTTTAAGAATGTTAAATAATTTATTTTTTAGAAAGTGATCCAAAAGGTGTTACCCACACATTATGTTTTCACTATCCCGTTCCAAGCTTGAGCAGGGGAGATTTATTTATTTACGCACCTAGTCGACCATATGATAATTAAAAGCACCGCCCAACAAAAAAGTTCAGAACTATGAAAAGAACCGTTTTTGAAGAATCCTTTAATTATGTAATAATACAGATCTAAGTAAATACTACAGATAAATTTCACTATTGTAGCTAGCGCATCTTACGTTAAAATTTATAGTTATAATTGTTAGTTTAGGCTTGACACTTTCACTTATACGTAAAGGGAAAAAGTAACAGGCGCATTTTAATATGCTAAGTAAAAAAAATTTATGCAAATTTGCCAAACTGAATCGTACCCATCACTATGCTACTAAACACGGCTGTGACTTGCAGAACAAGTTGCACAATTTGGAATTTTATAAATCTAGTTCCCTTTATATGGGGTGCTAGATTATTTAATAAACTTGACTCACATAAATCTAGTTCCCTTTATATGGGGTGCTAGATTATTTAATAAACTTGACTCACATCGAAGAGAATTAAAGGGTATCAACCCTTTTAAAAGCGCTAAAAAATGTTTTAGTCAAAAATGCATTTTATTCAGTAACCTTTTGTGATATGGATCGCCCGTGGTAATACCGTCTAGATCAAACAGTGTGTCCCAGGTAGGACGCACCATAGGGAAACGGCAATGTATTTTTTTGCAAAGGATCCACGAGGCCTTGGAAATTAGCGTTCAACGTACTACTCCAATCTTTTTCTGTCAGGCAAGCGCAATAACGTCCGTTGAACCCTAACTACAATAATGCATATCAAAGGCCCCGTGGATCCTTCGCGAAAAAATACATTGCCGTTTCCCTATGGTGCGTTCAACCTGGGACATCCAGTATATACTATACACTGTGTCCAAGAAAAGTTGCACAATCAAAGATTTATTATCATGTTGTAAAGAAAACTTCAGAAGATCTGCCAGACAAACCGAAATTGACCGATTTCGTGATTTTTTTGAGCAGGTAAAAAAACGAGCTCTACAGTATAGCATTGAAAGATTTACTACAACGTTTCGTTTCGGAGAATTCACCATCAACTTTATTTTGTTATATGGCCCGTAAAAAAACTGTATTAGGTAGAATTTTGGATTACGAATACACTGATGTACGGCACACAAAAAACAGACTAAAGAGGAAAACTGTTGGTTTTAACAGGATGGTGCACCCGCGCACAGCGCCTTAATCGTACGAGAATACCTATCGGACATATTTTCCTTCCATCTTCCATAAGTAAGTTTCCATCTTCTGTTCTCGAAATTTTTTACACATGGAAGTACCCCTTCACGAAATAAATTACTTTTAGTAATGCAAGCAAAACATGCATTAGTGTCACAAGTAAATAAGACCTATCCTATAACGTGATGTGTAATAATTGATAAAAATTTTGAAAAAGTTGAAACTTCATTTTCTAAATAAATACATCGCACCAGAAACTAGGGACACTTAGTATTACTTAGAAACGGGTCGCAAATAACAAACAAATAACCATTTAAGTCGTAAACTAAGAATATTTTTTGTATCATTACAAAGTTGTAGGGCATTAAATTAGCTAAAATTTGGCTGGTCAAACGAATTTTTAGACCCAATATTAACCGAAATGCAGCTGATAAAAGTTTCTGGAAATGTAAAAAAAAGTTGCCGAAAAACAAAGGATTTGGTTCTTTAATTATTTGTTACCATCATTTCGAATTTATGTATGTTAATCATTCATCTTGGAACACCTATCCCCCCCCCCCCTTTTTTCTCTTAACGTGAGAATCCCTCCCTTTAATGTAAGAAATGCCTTTTTAAGAAACCCTCACGCACACCACAAACCTTTACCTTCAACATTTTAGGGCTGTTGGCTCTTTTCCAAGTTAGCACACGGTTCTCGAGGTCGACTTAGCATAGACATCCAGGTGTACCTCCAAACAATCTGTAAAAATTCCATTAACTTTGGAATACTTTCCAGCCAGCCCACTATTTTTCATTATATGGACTGACTATATAGTGCGTATTTATAGAGAATAGCTACGAAGACAGATTACAAGGGAAACAAGTAAAAAGGTTTTCGCCCTAAGGCGAGTAACTTCAGCGCATTTTCCATAAATTGATCTATACTTCCCCAAAGGCCATACCTATGTGCGCTATGTTTTTCATTACTAGAGGCAGATATGGTTAAAATTTTAAAGAAATATCTTCATAAATAAGGAAGTTGACACTTACTGCGCAGTTGATATTGCGCGTCCTGCGCATGCGCTTATTAATCTGATATTTACAATATGCAATACGTTTGCTTTTACTATAAGCATCTTTGGTTAAAATTTCAAAGAAATGTCTCCATAAATAAGAAAGTCGGCATTGCGCAGTTTGCCCATGCGCACATCTGATTTTTACTATATACGATATATTTGCCTTTACTACAAGTATCTGTGATTAAAATTTCAACAAAATATAATTAATAAATAAAAAAGTTAACATTGCGCAGCCGCGCAGTTCAATCGTCAAGATTTTCCTTGACCAGGTGCCAGAGCGATACGCTACCGAATGCAAAAAGAACGAACTAAATATCTTGAAAACTGTAGGAGTAGTTAAGGCATCGGACAGACGGACGGACAGAGAAAGTGGCTGCAATAGCGCACCCAACTTCGTTGGAAAATGCGCTAAAAACGAGATCACTGTTTTGTAAATGAGTTCTGTAATATGAATGTGACTGTGACGTCATTGTTTTTTTTTCTATATCACCAAGTTTGTCATCCCTGGGCGGTATTCGTACTTCCCAGGTCCAAATCCATTGTAATGTAATTTAAACGTTGATTTTTTTTTATCCTTTCAGAAGGCAATTTTAGGAACTTATCTGACAGCGGTAATCGTCCACCCTACTTCCCTTATAACAAACAAGGGAGGGTTTAGTTCTCCTATACAGAATATCAATGATTTGTTAAGTTTGTTATATTGTTTGTTAATAAAAGTGGTAAAATAAAATTTACGTAATCTGTTAACCAATCTTGTGAAATATGAACAAAATTAGTATATGTGTACGCTGATTGACGCGAATAAACTCCCAAAGCAACTACTACACTATCTAACCTAACTGATCTACCATTTATCAATAACATATTAACCATATCAACTAATTAAAATGCACTATTTAAATTCATAAGTTCGCTCCACTTCGTCACAACTCTTAGAATATTCGAATTAGTTTAATTACTAATGTCATCCTAAAGCACCATAAATTTCATTTCTGTATTTCTGAAGACCCCACCATGGCAAACACATTGATGAACAAAGTACAGGTGACTTACAGTTACGGCGTTACGGGAATTGTTAAAATTCCATTGGTCGGGGCTGTTTGTCCAATGTAAAAGCCACCAAGAGGCCGCAGCTTAGGAAGATGTGTAGGTGGCTGAGCGCCCGCACGAAAGAAAAACTCGTTGATTTCTGAAAGGTCAGCATACAGTACAGAACCTCTCCAAATTTGACTACTCGTAAGAATTTTTTTGTTTACCTTGAGTAGGCACCTCTTTATGAGGCGAGAAACGGATAGCACGGATATTTTTATTTGGAGAACGTCTACGTCGAATTCCCATAGTTTCCCATTCCCGCCGTCGGCAAATGTTTTTAAACTCGCGCGGATGCTTTCCGAATTCACCCCATGGCCTCACTTGTATTATAGGAAACTTTAACTTTCAGATTAACCTCTCACTCTCGTACGTTAAATTATTTTCTCGATCGTGAACCTATTACCAAATATTAGAAGTTTTTTAGTCAGGTTTGAGTTTTTACTCGAGTATAGGTACGCCAAGAATTTCCAAACCGCGATGGATTTAACTTTTTTAATTATTTTGTCTTTTTCTCTTGCTCTACTCAGTGTTTATCTCGAAAATCGGATTAAATGAAGCCTGGACCCATTTTAAAGGAAATTCATCATCAATTTTAATACGTGATTTGGTCTATTGGTAAAGCCGAACCTTACAGTCTATGTTTTACCCAGAAGTCGATTGAATCAATAAGTAAGTGAATCGTCGTTGTTTATGATTATAACCTTAATAAATATGGGAATACAAGTTGCTATAACTGGTCATACTCATATAAACTGGATTCAACATTTATATCTTCAATAGA